TCTGTTTCACCACTGTGTAGACACTTATCTGTAGGGAGGGTGGCTTTTAAAATTTTACAACCTATCCAGTAAAAATTCGAAAAAAAAAATAGTGGACAAATCTGAAAGTATAGCTTCTTTGAAATACCGCAGCACATGGGTGAACTTGCTGATATCATTCACCACCTCCTTGATGTGGTCCTGATCAAAGTGGAGCTGGAACTTATGGACTGGAGCCCCACTTCAGAAGTTGTTACATCAGTAGAGAGTTGGCCTGATGTCCAAACATGTTTTTTCTTGGCCTTTTTATTTTTGTGAGCAATCATATTCTCACTTGATAATCAGAAAAACTGAAATTCTTAAGGGGGCAAGAAACAAAAATAAAAAAAGAGAAACACAAATACTACATCAGCCAGGGAAATATATTAGGTCTTCACAAATTGCCCACAGTCCACCTTAGTATTCTATTTTTAATTTGTAAAAACAAATGAATAAAACACTGTATTATGAAAAATAGCTTCCATTTACTAAATGCCTGTAATTCTGATAATACCCAATATGCAAACTATATTCTTTTCATTTCACAAGTGAGGAACCCGAGGTTTAAAGGTTAAAAAATATATCTATGCTCTCAACTGATAAATGATGAACTTTGAGTTAAATCTAGATCTACCCTAACTTCCTCTTAATTCCTAAGGTATAGAATATTTTTTAATTGTAAACATTTTTCAGAAACAGCACTTAGTAGGTCACATTTTCCCTCTATTAAATTACCTTCAAAAATAAAGATGAAATATGGACTCTGAGAAAAGAAATGTGTTTTTAAAATCCTCCTCCATTATTTACTATATGACCTAAGAAGCTGTTAATCATCTCTTTAGTTTGGTATGCTCATTTATAAAATCAGAAGAACATCTTGACAACACCTACCTCGGGAGCTTATTTTACAGAATTAAATGAGCTGATAACATGTAAGCATCCATTAAGCACATTAATGTAGTTCAATTACAGTTATTTTCTCTAGTGATGTATATACATGTACACATACACACTGACATTCTGGGTTATTGTTTCATGAAGAACATTTGACGAACTCTAGATAGGGAAGAAAGGTGGGAGGGGAAGAGAGGGGGTAGGGGGTTTGCAACGATGGTGGAATGTGATGGACATCATTATCCAAAGTACATGTATGAAGACACAAATTGGTGTGAACATACTTTATATACAACCAGAGATATAAAAAAGTTGTGCTGTATATGTGTAATAAGAAAAATAAGAATCATATGATCATCTCAATAGACGCAGAAAGATCATTTGACAAAATACAGCACCCCTTTATGTTCAAAACACTAGAAAAAAAAATAGGAATAACAGGAACATATCTCAACATAGTAAAGGATATCTATGCTAAACCCCAGGCCAACATCATTCTAAATGGAGAAAAATTGAAGACATTCCCTCTAAAAACTGGAACAAGACAGGGATGCCCTCTTTTACCACTTCTATTTAACATAGTTCTTGAAACACTGGCCAGAGCAAATAGACAAAAGAAATTAAAGGGATACACATAGGAAAAGAAGAACTCAAATTGGCACTATTTGCTGATGATATGATTCTATACCTGGAAGACCTTAAAAGTTTCACTCGAAAACTTCTAGAACTAGTAAATGAATTCAGCAAAGTAGCAGGATATAAAATCAACACCCATAAGTCAAAGGCATTTCTGTACATCAGTACTTCATTTTTTAATACTAAACTTTTACCTCAAAGTAAATGATAGTGAAAAATTTCTGTTGTCTTCTACTTATTTTCATCTAATTGACATTGGCTTTATCCCTCTATGTGTGTGTGTGAGAGAGAGAGAGATACAATGTTATATGTATTTTAATCCTCATCCATGGAAGTAAGTTGCAGAGAACTGCATCCTCCTCAGTCAAGTAGTACAGGCTCTTTTGGAATTCTTAAAATTCCAGACATTCTCCTGGAACCCCACCACTTTGTATGTGTTTATTTGTCTGAGAATGGATCTCACTATGTTCCCCATCCTGGTCTCAGGGGCTGAAGTGTGTTCAAGCCTGTCCGTTCAAGCCTCATTCCCAGGGCTTCCAGCCCCCATTCCCATCACTCCTCTATTCCTGGAAATAAAAGTGCATGTAGGTCGGACTGGTGCATTCAAGAGCATGTTTTCATAGATGATGGTCATTCAAAAGCTATTGCAAGTTCTTGATCAAAGAACTGATACAATAATCAATGTGTTCAATGTCTTTGAGGAGGATTTGCTGCCCGATGGTTGCTGTAGCATCGCACAGAGAAATCGATTTTCATATTATCCAGAATATTATTTCATCTTCTTTTCCTCCTCTTCTTTCTCCTCTTCTCCTCCTCCTCCTCCGTCCTCTTCATCCTACACCTCCTCCTCTTCCTCCTCCTTCTTTTTCTTCTTCCTCTTCCTTTTTCTGGTGGTAAATGGTACATGACAAAATTTATTGTATTAATTCTTCAGAGTACAGTTTGGGGACATGAGTGTTTCACATTGTTGTGTGACCACTCCTATTAAACATCTCCAGCACTTTTCAACAATCCAGACCTAAACTCTCTACCTTTTAAATAGTGATTCCTAATTCCCATTTTGAATTTGCAGTACTTTTAAACATCAGTGAGGTTGGATACATAGCTTATCTTATTATGTAATAATGCCTTGGATTTTATTATTACTTTTGAAACACAAATTTAGAAAAGATAATACCCAATGTCATGAGAGATTATTTTCTGGCTCTGTCTAAAAAATTGGGGGAATGATGGAGGAGACCTTCTGCAGTCTGCTCATGTTCAGATCCCATACAAATTGTAGAAGTCTCATCCATCTTAAGTTAATAGTGCTTGAATAGTTCTGAGGCACAGAATGAGTGTGCAATCCCATTTCTCCTCAGATGCTCTTCCAGGTTAGCAGGTTGCTATAGCATCTGGACCAAAAATGTCAGCCCCCATTTGTCTGGTGGAAAACAACAATGAGCAGCTGATGGTGAATCAGCAGGCTATATATTCTTGAGAAGATTTCTCAGACAGTGGTAGTGGCAACCATTGTTGGATGGACTGGATTCGTGCTATTGAATATCTTTTCATATTTCTATCAATCAGCCATTTGTATGTACGCTTTTGAGAAATGTATACTCAAGTTATTTGCTTATTTGTATTGGTTACTTGATTTACTTTGCTACTGAGTTACATGAATTCCTTACATGTTTTGAATATTAACCGATTTCCAGATATACAGTTTGCAGATTTTTTTTCAGACTGCAGTTACCATTTCACATAGTTGATTGTTTTCTTTCCTGGAAAGCTGTCTAGTTGGATGCTGTACACTTGTCCAGTTTTGCCTTTGTTGCCTGTGCCTTTCATGTCATATCCATACATGTCATCACCAGAGCAATATCAAGAAGCTTTTTTCCTATGGAAATGAAGCATTGGGGCTGGGGATATAGCTCAGTTAGTAGAGTGCTTGCCTCACATGCACAAGGCCCTGTGTTCAGTCCCCAGCACCACAAAAAAAAAAAAAAAGGAGTCATTGTGCTTTTATGGTTTCAAGTCATTTTATGGCTTTATTGTTTCAAGTCATATTTTTCCTTCTATCTAACTGAAAAATTCCCACCCTGGTAACCACCATTCCACCCTCTACTTCTGTGACTGCACCTTCTTTAAGTTCCACATACAAGTGAGGTCAGTTCATCTGTCTTTCTGTGCCTCTCTTATTTCACTTCATGTCCTGCCAGGTCATCTATGTTGTCACAAATGACAGGATTTCCTTATTTTTATGGTTATGTAGTTTCCTAGTTTGTATACTTACCACATTGTTTGTCCTTTCTTCCATCAATGAACACTGAGACTGATTCCATGCCTTGGCTGCTATGAATGGTAGAGATGTCCCTTAGGTGTACTTACTTCATTTCCTTTAGGACATACACACAGTAGTGGGATTGCTGGATCCAATTTCATGTCTTATATGTAAGTCTCAAATCTGTTAGATGATTTTATCATGCTTCTGCCTGTGGATATCCAGTCTTTCCCACATCATTTATTGAAGAGACTAGTTTTTTTTTTTCCTCATTTTGTGTTCTTGGCATTGTTGTCCAAGATCAGTAGACTGTTAATGCATGGGTTTATATCTGAGCTCTCTTTTCTGTTCCAAGGGCCTATGTTTCAGTTCTGACATTATTTTCTGTATTATTGCTTGGATCATTGTAGCTTTGCAACTTATCTCAAATAGGAAGCATGATGCCTCCAGCTTTGTTCTTCTTGCTCAAGTCAACCTTCAGTGTCTTTGATGATTTTGTGTGAAGATTAGAATTTTTATTTCTTAAGGAATATCATTGGCATATTTTAGGCATTTAAAAACTATTCTCAGACAATGGTATGTACTTATCTAAATGGTATGTACTTATAGTTTGTTACAAAGTCCACTTCTAGGAAGCATGATAACTGTTGTTTTTTTTTTTTTTTAAATTAGGGCCTGAGAAAAAGGAAATGGTTAATCTCCCTCACTTAAGATTCTTCTGAACATAAGTCACAGTTATTACATTTGCTCAAGAAACCAGCTTTATACACTTTTTATAGAAGTAATTTCTAGATTAAATTTAGACAAATGCTGTAATTTACAGAAACGAATCAGCCTGAGCTTAGGTGCCCTTCCTCACCTGGTGTCAACACTCACCTGCCAGCCTTCTTTCCTGCTCCCTGCTCCTCAGTCAAAGCAAATAACTCTATTTTCATTTCAAAGACTCCTGAAACCTACAATCTCTAGTTTTGTTTCTGTGGGTCTTTCTACCTGCAGGATATTTATTTCCTCTGCCATCATTCTACCAACTCTTTAACAGTCAACTCATGACTTCCAGGAAGCCTTCACATGTGTTTTCTCCAACTTTCATAGCTCTGTTCTTTCTTGGTAGACTTGTAATTCTTAGTTTTTTTAATTTTTGTAATTACAAAATTATTGTAATTTTTAATTTTGCTTCTTGGTTCCGCAGGCAGGCGATGTCTTCTAAAGGCTCCTTCAGTCAACAGACAGCAACAGAGAAATCCATCCTGCAGGCAAATAAAGCCCTCACTGATGGTAAGAAAACCATTGCAGGTACAGGGGCACGACTCCACTCCTAGGTGGTGGTTGGATTCCTGTAAAGCCCTCTGACAGGTCTGTCAGGAAGAACTTCCCAAAACTGTGAGCTTCCCCTTCTGTGGAATGCATGCTCTGCTGAATGTTTGAAGAACAAGGGGGAGTGGAGGTCCAACCTCAGCCTGATGGGCAGGACCTTTACCATTACTTTCTGAAACATGCCCTTGATGATGTGGACCTGTGTGAATTCTGTGATTTCCTACCCTGCCCTGCCCTGCCTTTCAGATTTGGCTTGGTCTCTGAGCTCAGGATAGTTGCTGTTTCTTTCTTCCTTCTCTAAATCTTTCCTGTGACAGAGGAGTGGGCCAAGAAGGAGGAATCTGAGAGGGAACAGGAGCTTTCAAGTCAGAAACTACAGGAAGAGCAGCAACAGGTGGAGGCTCAAGAGATGTGTCTCAAGGAAAACCTGGAGCAACTGAAAAAGAAACTGGAGGAGCTCCTGAAAAACCAGGACATCATGTTGGAGCACCAGCTGAATGTGGATGTTGCCCTGCTCAGTACTGCCTGATGGTTCCAGAGCCCCAGAATGAATAGGGAAGATTACACTCAGCTCACAGAAGGAAAACCATGACCATTTGTTGCTTGTGATTCATTAGAAGCCCTGAATAATCACCCCCACCCCAAACCCACATCATTTTTTTTCTTAATATTCCTTTGAATTTTTTCTCCATATTTCGACTCTGGAGACCGAGGTCATATGACTCCTATAAATCCTTGGAGAATACAAATAGGATTTAAGCTGCTTTTTGAGAGATTTAAAATGGTCTCACAAGTATGTGGGTAAACAGATTTCCCATCAAGCTAAGGTCAATATGAGCAGCAATTGGTTTGCATTCCCAAGTCCCATGTTATCAAGATACCTATTCCTTATCCAAAACCCTAGGTAGATTCACACCAACATAAAACTGTTAGAAATTTCTGTAGTTAAAATCATAGGGAAGTGACAGCTTTTAAACTTGCTGCAATCTGCTCCAGGTTTACATAGCTGCCTGAGCATGCATATTGCATGGGAGGAAAGCTCTCAGATTCCACCTAGACATTATATGAGGACAGATTTCTAGATTAACTGATGACTTCCCATCATTGCTATGGTATGGAGACTATGCCACCCCACTGGGACTGAATATCTGTTTGGTCAGACCATTTGGCTTTTCTTTTGGGAAGAATGTGAAATTGCTGTTTTTAACACTTTGGTTAGCACAGCAGCAAAACTGTAATGGTGGGCGAATATTAGTAAAGTTGGAAACTTCTTCCTTACAGTGTCTAGGTCTAACCCAGATGGTATTTTTATCTTACAATATCTTATAATTCATTTTCTTATAATAATGGAGAAAACATTCTAGGGATATGAGATATTTTACAACGTTTTGACTAGTTGTGATTCTTAAGAATCCAAGTTATAAAATATTTAAGTCCCTTCCAATGTCTACTTATTTATTTTAGATTCAAAAGGATTTGCTTGAGGAAGGATTTAGGAAGAAATCTGAGGATATGAATGCAACAATTACTCATCTGCAAAGTAGAACTAAAGCTACAGAAAATAATAGTACTTCCTCTATTGCAGGAGTTTTGGATTCATTTGGTGATAAGCTGATTACAATATTGTCTGGTTTGCTAAATCAGTTGGTTACATTATAAAAGGATTTCCCTGGCTACAGAGATCATTAGTTCTTCTTTAAGAAATTCATAGATTGTGATGTATGCTTTGGCCTGTTTTGATGTGCATGGTTTTCATTTTTATACAGCAAAGTTTTAAACAACATAAAAAGTGCTTTCTAGAAAATATCAGTTCCTGACCTATATTAGATAAACATATTGCATGTATACATTGATGATGATGTTCATTTTAGGAAATGCACATTTGCAATGTTATACATATGCAAGAGGTCTTTTGATGCATTGATTTTAATGGCAAAAATTTAATTACTACTGAAATGTCTTCTATATAAAATTGGTACTATAAATTTTAATATGTGCTGATATTGCAATAGCCATGAAACAAAATATCATGGAATTCTATATAGCCTAATATAGAATGATTTTAAAAACATAATGTGAGTTTAAAACAATGTCTGAAACAGTATATATACTCTGATCACTATTAAAAATGCAATTACATGCAAACTATGTATGTACAAATAAAATATCTTGTGAAAGATTAATGAGAAACTAGTATCATTGGCTCCTTTGGGGGAGGACTTAGTGGAATCAGGGGTTGAAGGGACAAGTACTTTTCATTATGTACTTGATTTTTTTGAACTTTGTAAAGAAAACTTGTGTCTAGTTATTTAGAAATAAATTAGAAATTTTAAACTCTTATAGTAGTAATGATAGCAATGAAAGTGAATTTGACCACTGTATAATGAACTAAGCTCATTATTTCAAGAAATGACATCCGTCAGCTCAATGAAGGATGTAAAACTGCTATCTGAGTACTAGAAAGCAAAACATTTGCATCCTAATCCTATTTTCAGTGTGACTGGGATTTTTAACCCCTATATTTGTTTCACAATTGAGGTAAAAACTTTTCTGTGACTTTAGAAATGTTAATTAAATTTCTTATCTCTATTTCCTAATTCTGAATTAATTTTAAGTTGTTAAAAGCACAATGAACACATGTTAAGAATGTACATGGGCTTGGCGCAGTGATACACACTTGTAATCACAGCAGCTGGGGAGGCTGAGGCAGGAAGATCGTGAGTTCAAAGCCAGCCTCAACAACTTATTGATGCTGTAAGCAACTTAGTGAGACCCTATCTCAAAATAAAAAATAAAAACTGGATGGGATGTGACTCAGTGGTAGAGCACTCCCAGGTTCATCCCCCCGTACCTACCCACCTCCCCCAAAAAGGGGAAAAAAAGAATGTGCATGAGTGAAGAATCTTGGCATCTTTGCAAACTCAGTGGAGCTCTCTATAGTGGTAGGGCAGAGGGGACAGTGACTTTTCACAACTGGACCTCTTGATGGAGAATGACACATGGAGGCCAGGTGTTGGCCTGAAATGAGCAGAATCCAAGCAGACACAGGTATAGTAATGAGCTGCTGGGCTTGTCCAGTGAGAATTCTGAAGATGGGGAATGGGGTCTCTTATGTTTTGGATATAAGGGGTCTCCCCAAAGCTCCTGTGTTAATGCAGGAATATTCAGAGGTGAAGTGATTGGATTATGAGATCTAAAACCCAACCAGTGAAGTATTAATACTTTGTAAGGACTATTGTACTGGGTAGTAACTGCGGGCAGGTAGATAGTGGCTAGAGGAAGTACATTCACTGGGGACAGGCCTTTGGTTTTTATATTTTGTTATTTTTGTCCCTGATGAGTGGATAAATATTTTGAAGTAAGTCCTTGACTTATTTTGGAGGAGAATAAAGGTGAATAACTTTGAAGTTGATGATTCAAGGATGAATATGGCCAATTATAATTAATTCAAGAACAGGGAAAGTTAAAATTTCCATACAGAGAGATGTAAAAGTTATCTTCATATATTTCAGTAATTCAGACAAAGAATAACAGATCAAAAATATCAGTAAAGTTAGAATACTTTGAAAATCATGATAACAAGTGTGGCCTAATGTAGTAATGTAGTACATGGCACCCAACAACAGTAAAGTATTCATTCTTTATAAGCACACTTGGAACCTTCATATAAAGTTTACATGTATAAACCACAAAGCAGGATTGGTAGTGCCTTTTGTCAGATTCTCTAGAGGCAAAGCCTCAGGAACAGATTCTTGTCCAAGTGATTTGTTGAGGGTGCCTAAGGGAGACAGGAGAGAGCAGGAAAATAAAAACAAAACCAAAAAAGATTGTGTCTCAGGTGAAATTACCTTATGCCTGATCCCTTGGGACCCTCTGTAGCCCAAATAGCGCCTGAATTAGCCCTTCCTTAAGGCAAAGGAGCTGGACATCTGTACCCACATCAGTCAGTCAGAATCTGAGGGCTGTCCAGTAGGGAGAGGCTGGGTAAGCTCCTGGCAGAGCAGCTCCCATTTAGTCAAGGGAATTTCTCTGGAGGAAGGGGCAGCTCTGAGCCCCACCAATGAAACTCCTAGAAGTGGAGTTATGGGTTCAGTGGCTTGGAAAGGGGAATTTGGGTGAGATTCTAGTAAGAGACAGCAGCAGTGAAAATATTAGCAACAGATGCATCATGCCAAGTCCACGCAGGCCACACCTAGCACCACTGGGGTTCCTGCATCCTGACAGCCCATGATCTAGACCCAGAATCTCATCTTAGCATCTTAGATTTCAGACCTCTCCTGATAAAATCAACTGCTGATTGGATTCCCCAGGAAGCAGATCATGAGATTCACATTTGCATTTAAGGTTTTTATTAGGGCTCCCTAATAAAAACTTCTGAGATGAACACTCATGCAAGGGTATAAAAGATGGCACTGTGAAGAAGAGGCATTCAGTCCTGATGTAGACTCAGTAATGGCTTCACCAACCCCATAGGAAGGCTCTGGAGAGCAGAGAGTCTTCTGGCAGTCAGAAAACGTGGAAAAAGAAGAGACCAATTCCCTCGAAGCCTGCCACCTTTCTTCTTCAGACAGTCTGAAGGAAAGGCTCAAAATAGAGTTGATTTTGCTTTTTTTTTTTATTTTTAGGAGACAATATGTGTCAGGACCATAGAATATAAGATGAATGGAGAAGAAAATAGAAATGTGAGAGGCATTCAGTGTGATAATTCTATTTGTAATTTTAAAATGGAGCCATGTGTATTAGTCATGGAGAAAATGAAGCAAACAAATGTGTATCTGTGTGAAAAGAGCCCTAATCTATGAAATTAGCCCATGCAATTATTGAGAGTGGCAAGTCCAAAGTCACCAGGTGAGCCAGCATATTAGAGACCCAGGAGAGCCATTTTTCCACTTCTAGTCTGCATGTGGTCCATGATGGAACCAGAAAGAGTCAATGTTGGGCTGGGGATGTGGCTCAGGCGGTAGCGCACTCGCCTGGCATGCGTGCGGCCCGGGTTCGATCCTCAGCACCACATACAAACAAAGATGTTGTGTCTGCCAAAAACTAAAAAATAAATATTAAAAAATAATTCTCTCTCTCTCTCTCTGTCTCTCTCTCTCTCTCTCTTAAAAAAAGAGTCAATGTTGCAGGAGAAGTTCAAAGGCAGGTTGATGGAAAATTCTCTGTTTGTTGAAGAAGTTAGTATTCTCCTTCTATTAAGATTTTAACAAACAGGTTAGGGAACACTCACATTCACAAATGGGGAATAGTTTGAATTATTGGTAGTCTCTTAGTGTAAATGTTAATCTCCTACAGAATGCCCTCACTGAAACACACAGGAAAATGTTTCATCAAACATATGGGTGACTGTGACCCTGCCAACTGAAGACATCAAACTAACCAACACAATGTGAATACAGGGTGTTTCACTTTAGTGGAGGAAAATATTTTTGGAAGGGAAGGAATTGAGAAGTCAGCATATTGGGGTGGTCATGTTGAAGTCACTGCAAATGACGACAAGAGTGGAGTTAAAAAAAAGAAGAAGACAGGTATTGAATACATTCACAATTTTGAGAAAAGAAAAGAATGGGTTTTGCTGAGGTTGTCAATGATAAGGCATAATGGATGTCAAAACTGATATAGATATTTTAAAAGGCAAAGAGGAAAAATAGTTGGGGTGGGAGAAAGCAAAAGAGAGAGAGAGAGAGAGAGAGAGAGAGAGAGAGAGAGAGAGAGACCTACATCATGTCTAGTTCTGAAATTATGAATGTTTCTAGAAGGACAGAAAAGGCATTCGTAAAGATGGAGAAGTGTAGAAGACCAGCACAGGTGCAGGCAATGTGATGAGCTGAAGAGGGGTAAAATATGTGGAATGACAGAGACTTGGATTCTGTGGTGACAGAGTTGAGCGCAAATATGAGATGAGCTGGGAATGGGCCTGGAATTGTCATATTGTACCATTATTCAAGCCCAAGGTGACCAGTCTCCTCTCTGTTTAGTGCTTTTTGACAGCCAGAGCCCATGATGATGGAAGGCCCTGGTCTCTTCTGCTGTGAGGTACAGGCTGAGTGAGCAAGCAGTGACGGTCCTAGTGGCCTTCTCTGTCCTTCTCCCTCAGAGGAAGAAGGAAGTCTAGTCACATAGGTATGGAAAACTCTCGTTCTCCAGATTTCTTGAGTTGCAAAGTTCTGAAGAGGTATGAATCAATTTGTTTAAGGATCCCAAGTTAGTTGGGTGGAATAGAACAGCATGATTACAGGCTGCTTTTTTAAAGACTTGTTTCTTGGGGACTGGCCCTACTCAAATTCTCTCAGATTTAGATAAAACTAGATGCCCTGATGCAGTAGAGTGGAAAGGAGGAAATAGTATGTGTCTATAATATTGACAAAGTAGAAGACCCTAAAGGCTCATGTGGATTCTGATTACCACCTGCTAAGGTAGCTGAGGGTGGTGGCAAGATGCCATATTTTGTGAAAAATGATCAGACTTATTTCTGAAATCAAAAGGAAGTGAACAGCATGGGGGTTGTACCTCAGAAGTAGTGCCCTTTCCTAGCATGTGTGAGGCACTGGGTTCAATCCTCAGCACCACATAAAATAAATTAATTAAATAAAGGTATTGTGTTCATCTACAATCTAAAAAAAGGAAGTGAACATTAAGACTTTCTGCAGAGCTTTATTAAGAGGCAGTGAGTCCCTGGGCCAGCGTTGTGGCTCAATGATAGAGCACTCGCTAGCATGCATGAGGCACTGGGTTCGATCCCCAGCACCACATAATAAAATAAACAAATAAAATAAAGGTATTGTGCCCATCTACAACTAAAAAAAAAAAATTAAAAAGGAGGCAGTGATTCCCAATGAAACCAGCATGGTGATCGCCTAGAGTTGGAAGAACTGTCCATGACAAACTTTTACCAGCATGTGTCAGTGATCAAAACACTTCTTGGTATTCAGACACAATACTGGCCTTATTTGAACTGAATTTTAGAACCATTATGCATTTTGGAAAATTAAACTTTATGGTAGGTAAATAATTTTATAGTAATAGGAATAAATAATCAAGTCATTGGAAAGAAGATGTGAGTTTAATTGAAAATGAAACTAGTGAAACTTTTCATACCAATTATACCAACTTTTACTCAAAAAACATTATCAAGTCAATATAAGCGTCGGGGTGAATGTTTATGCCTCTGGCAGGAAAACAATGCACAGTGCCCACAAACCTATATAAAACATCAAAGAGTACAACCATAATTAAACATGATAGAAATTAAATTTTTGCTTTGTCTTATCAAAAAACTTGTGGAAGTATTGAACTGCCTGTGTTGAAGAGCATTGTCTGCAGGTT